ATGATAAAGGACTAACCAAATATGGACTATTTTGGAAAGATTTTTAAATTTTTAACTCATTTTAAATCAAGTCATTTTGTATATTTTTTTATATATTTTTCAAAAAAATTTAATTTTAATTATTTTTTCAAAATAATCCTATGGCAAGCTGCCACGTCACCCCTTCGTGATGTCGGCCGGTTGTTTTTGGCCGAGCATGTATTTATCTACCTAAGTGGAGTTTCAATTTTTCATTGACTTTCAATTTTTCATTGACTGCGAGATTTCACTGCTTTAAATAGAGAAGTGGTGAGTGAATATAAAAATTAAAAAAATATTATTATGTAAATAATTTTTTAACAAATTTTTTTTTTACAATATGATGCTACCTCTTTGTATTTAAAAGGAGACATTTCAAATGATGAGAACAATTTATTTGACATTTTTATAGTAAGTATATTTTAAAAAAATCGCTTTGTATAGCATTACTCAAATAGTTTTTCCCAATATGTTTGCCTTTTATCTCAATACACTCGTGACTATAATTTGAATTTTGATGCATAATTCAATAATTGCCAGCGTTTAGAGACTAGAAATAGAGAGATTTAAGATATAATCGTGTGCCCAATGTATACAATTTAAAAAAATTATATAGCTCCCAATAGATGAATCAAAAATAAAAAATACATATAACCTCCGTTTGAGAAGTGAGTTGACTTTTTAATTTTTTAGCTATTTTAACCTGGACTAAAAAGCTTGATTGAGGAAGGATTTTTTGACTTTTTTTATGAGAAAAGAGTGCAATGATTATGGGTTGAATGTGATGTTTTGTTTGTTGTAACTAAAATAACCTATTTTATTTTTTGTAAATAAAATAGTCAAAAAAACTTGAAAACTTTCTTCCCAAAACGGTGCCTGAACAAAATGAAACTCACAATTTTGAAGACTCACAGGATCAAGCCGACCAGGAGAGGGGAAAGTGAAAAAGAAAATTTTTGAATGGAAAATGCTAGAGGTCTCAAATTTTCTACCAAATAAATGACCAAATGTCTCACATGGGTGTGGGGTCCACAAAATTGCGGACCCCACACCCATGTGAGACATTTGGTCATTTGTTTGGTAGAAAATTTAGTGTCCCTAGCATTACCCTTTTTGAATTGGGTGACCCACACCAATCTCAATAACAATTTTTTGTTTTTGTTTGTTTTTCGCAACTCTTTGTGGGTTCATGACTAGACCCCTACCCCTACCCCTACATTGAAATGGATTGCAATAATAATATATGTATTTTGTCATCTAATTTACATTTTGTGAGTAGACCCCAAACACAAACCTTCCTTCCCTCTCTCTTTTTTGTTTTGTTAGTTTGTAAACAAATGAGCACAGCCACCACTGTTGTGATTCGTAATAGCTCTTCCTTTTGCTGGATATTGGGTTGTTTATTGCGCACACGCAACGCAAGTTACGCAACCATCTCGCAATAAAAGATTCTCCGAAAAAAGCCAAAGAATGCAAAAAAATAAAAACTACACAGGAATCAAAGAGGTGTGCAAAAATAAAATAAAAATGTATTGGGCAGACTTACCTCGAGCATCGTTCAGAAGACGACAAAATCTGAAGCAGTGACCGTTAAAAGAGTCCTCTCCTCTCTCTTGTGGGTTTTTTGTATTATTCAATTCGACAATAATTTCGAATATTAATTTTTGATATTTTAATACAGCATTACTGATATGATAATGAGTAAAAAAAAATAAAAATAAAAACAAATCAAAACCAAAACAGTAGAACCTATTGTCAATTCATTAGAGTTAATTTTAAAATTCAAAAATTAAAGCTCTAAAATATTTTCTTATTTAATTTCAGAATTCCATTCTATACCACTTGCTAATTTATTTATTAATTCATTTCAGATCACACAGTCACACTGCACTAAAATACAAATATATATTACAATAAATATTTGATTTTTTGACATATTGTATAAAAGTCAAAAAATTAAAAAGTTACTCAAAAAGTTAAAAAGTTAACACTGTTCACCAAAAGTCAACAATTACGGCTGCACAACTCTCAATCCTAATTTTTCTCTACAAATCAATTTTTACAATTTTTTATTACACATTTTTCTATAAAAAGTCAAAAAATTAACCAAAACATCCATATTTTCTTCTTCAATTTTTTAGTCTAAAAAGACAAAAAATACACTTATTTAGGACACTCCAAACAACCCTAAAACATTACGTCACTATGGGTAGAACTTGCTGCCAATTCATTAGAATTAGCTCCAAACCATTTCCATTCTTTATCACTTACTAATTTATTTATTAATTCATTTCAGATCACACAGTCACACTGCACTAAAATACAAATATATATTACAATAAATATTTGATTTTGTTGGTGTCGATATTGAACTTTCACCTCGAAAGCTTTCGCTAAACCCAACTCATTTTTATTTTTTAAAATTTAAAGAAATTACAAACAAACAAAAAAAACTTAAGATTTGACCTTTCTAATAAATTAAAATTAAATTTTTTATTTGTTTTCAATTTAAATTATTTACATATTTTCGTTAAGTAAAATCAACAAAAAAAAAGAAAAAGAAAAAAGGACATCTTAATTATTAAACTCAATGAAAAATGATATCTTAAACATTTTATACTTAACAAAAATAGGAAAATAATTTAAATTAAAAGCAAATCAAAATATTAAAATTTAAATTTACAAAATTAAAAACTCAAGATTTATTTTGTTACAAATCTCAAATTTTAAGTTTATTTATTTATTTATTTGTCTCTAAAAATATTAAAAAACTGAAAACAAAAACATTTTTAAAAACTGTTTTTCGAAATTTGGGGAAGCAAAAAAAGATAAAAAAAACAAACGCATTATTTATTTTCAAAAGCGAGCAAATGGCTTATGTTTGATCACTAGGCCCACACCTCTAATAACTCATCAACGTGTTACGACAGGGTCTAAAGCCTTGTTTGGGAAGTGTTGATTTTAATTAAAAAAAGGAAAATGAGTTAGACCCCCTCAATGAGGCATCCCTTTGACCCCTCTCTTTCTCTGGTTGGCTAGTTTTTCTTTTTTCTTTTTCTTTTTTTCCTTCTCCTCCAATCACCACCCGCCACGTGTGTGTGGGGATGGTGGGGGTGGTGATTGGAGGGGATCTCAATCACTTCCCTTAAAAAAATCACTTAAGTTCAAAAAAATAAAATAAAAAATCAACTCATACAAAAAAATTAAAAAATCCTTCACATTCATTGTACAAAAAACTTTTTGTATGTCATTTCATAAAAAATAAAAAAGTTTTTCCCAAACTTTTTTTTTTTCCACAGTACATTTTAAAAAAAAAACCAAAAAACCACTTACCAAACAGGCCCTAAGAAAATAAAACCCCCTAAATTATTCACTTACTTTCAAAAATAAATTTTCATCAAATGTTTGCCCTACAGCTGGCCTCTTTTACCACTTCCATATGGTTAAAAGCTATCTTATAACTTTTAACCTATTTTAGGTCACACCATCGCTCACATTTTTTTTACACATATTTTTACAAAAAAAGATAAAAAGTCAACTTTTAAATATCTTTACAAAACAACCCTAACTCTAACTCAACCAACGCGTTTTTATCTTTTAAGTTTTATTTTTTATCTGAAACATATGTTATCATATAAATTTTAGTGTTTTATTTTTGCTTTTAAACAAAAACAAATACATAAATCAAACATTATCAAAGGACCCAAAGTTACACTTATATATACAGTCCAATGACCCTAGTAACAGCTAATAGACTGTGGAGCCCATTGTCTTCTTATAACATGCATAGTGCTTCTACTTGTATACAAACCAATCATAAAATTAGATACAATCATCTTACATAGGTTATTTGAGAGAATCCAAAAAAAAACAAAAAAAACCCACCTATGTAAGAAAATTATGTCTGATTTTGTAATCAATTTGTGCTACTAACCTTTTTCTAATATCCGTGGGCTAAAAAAATTAGAGGTGGGGCTTGCAGTGAATTCAGACTTCCCTGTAGACTGTACCAAAAGGCTACACAGTTTGCCCTCTATCTATATGCATTATTCTAAGGTCTCACTTAATTTATTTAGGATGCCCTTGTACTGTATATCCCCTAATTGCAAGCCACAAAACCCAACTAAAAAAAGCCAACCTACTATATATAGTTGCAACCTGACCAGATCCAGCAATTGGGCTGATCTGCTTGCACCTCACAACCAGTTTGGATCCTATCCGCCTCGTTTAATATGATTTATTGTAAACTAAAAGTAATAATCAAACAACAAACGCTAAAAACATACTTTCCAACAAAGGCTAAATTAGTTTTGCATCATTAGCTGTAAATAAAAGTAACACTAAATGCTCTGAACACAAATTCCTAACATAAATATAACTATTAAAAAAAAACAAAACAAAACTTATAGGAAACCTAAATAAGCACCAAACACCCTATTATCACCCTCAATAACATTTTTGCCGTGGAAATCACTTTGATACGATTTTGTGAAAAGTTAATGACATCTTTGGACTTGTCAGGCTAAGTCACATCTCCCCTTCCCTTCATAATACATAAACTATTACACAATGTTTAGATGGAAGTGAAGAATGGAAGTTTAGGTCGAACGGGAAATAAAGGAAAATTTTCCTATTGCTTCAATAATAAAAGAGAGGGAAAAGGAAGGGATAAGAAGGGAGGTAGCGTTGTTTGGGGAAAGAAGAGATGAGAAAAGGGAGGGTAAAATTGGTACATCAGAAACTTCTCTTCCAAAATTAATAGCGTTGGTAAACAACGAAAGCAACCATCGAGGTTTGATCACTAAAAAGAAAAAGGAGACCAGTAATTGAAACAAATTTGTGGTATCCAGAGCTGCTTGGCGAAACCTTGCATGGAGTGTCTACTGGTTAACATGCAATTATCTATCATAAAGCAACATAATTTGTCTACTACAAGCCATATGAGTGGCAAATTCCATGTCCAATTCTTTCACCATCACTGATGCATAAATTAAGAATTTGAAATTGAAATTGAGAAAAAACTGTACTTAAAATAACACTCCTACATGTACACGAACTAGTATCACAAGATGAATAGTATGCTCCTTGGAACTTATGTAAAATACAAAGATGCAAATGTAAGAAACAAGCTTCACAAAGCCTTATTTCCCAGAGGAAAATTGTCACCAATATTACAATCAAGCACAGAATTACTTAATGATGTGAAGAAGAAATTGCATGCATCACAATAATAAGAGATTGCAACTTCCAAACTAGCCTCACTAACCTGATAATAAGGTGATGCAAACGAACTGTAAGAAGAGCGAGGACACCATTCTCTAATCTGCTCTTGATTGGCCAGCACGAGAAGAGAGGATAATGCCAACAATAAGGCCATACAACGCCAATGCCTCCGCAAAGATGAGAATGAGAATCATTCCAACAAAAAGCTTAGGCTGTTGTGCATTAGCTCTGCAGTGATAGTCAAATATCAGGAAGGAAATTTTTATTAGATCTATCTGACATTTATACAGCTACTACTCTATTCCACAAAAATATCGATGGATCCAAAGCCATGAGCTGATTGCCTAAAGAAATTTCAACAAATGAATGCAAAGATTTGATATCAAATACAAATATCCTTATGGAAAATGCTATTCCACCAGACTTTTTATAAAGAATATTGCACCAGAATGATGTGGCAGCGTTATTTCTGTAATTAAAGGCAACTCAACGGTCTATTTGTTCCGAAGTGATCAGCTCAAAACCCAGCAATGTCATTATGTATAAGTTTTCTATGTGTGGATCACTACTCTATGCTTATATACAGCACCAAGTAGAAAACAGTGAAATTATCAGCAATAGGAGCATGGACCATTCAGCAATATAACATTAAGCTCTAGCATCCATGGATGGAAGTGCAATGAGGAACTGGAACAACTCCTTAAAGACCAAGTTCACGTGGATAGAAGTAGATTTTATAACCATCCTAAAGAAGAAGAGGAGGAGGAGGAAGAAGAAAATCTATTTTCAATTTCGGTTAAAGCAAAGATCAAACACTAGACAAGGATTAGATGTGCCCTCAAAAAGGGTATGCTCATCATATCATAATTCATGAGAACATGGGCACTGCACTTTATTATTGCGCATTAAAAACATCCCAGACCAAATTTGTCATCCCCAAGTCACTTAGAATCTTATTTTAGCCATCTAACCAAGCCAAACCAAACCAAGCCTTAAGTCTCATCAAATGGGGTCAGTTGCATGAATCCTTCTTCTCCACTCGACTCTATCCAAAGCCATTTCGTTAGTCAAATTAAAGAGATTCATATCTCTATTTACTACACTAGTCCACGTCAATCTAGGTCTACCCCTTCCCCTAACACTACCATTTATCGTCATTGTATCGCAAATCTTCACTACTGCCACTGTTGGTTTCCATTATATATGACCAAACCATCTCAATCTATTCTCTCTCAACTTATTTTCTATCGATACTACTCCTACCCATTCTCATACATACTCATTTCTAACTCTGTCTTTTCTAGTTTTGCCACACATCCACCTTAGCATCATCATCTCAACAACACTCATCTTATCTACATGTTGTTTCGTAATTGCCCAATATTCCGTCCCATACAACATCGCTGGTCTAATAGTTCGCTTGTAGTCTAATGGGTACTCGTTTATTGCATAGTACTCCAAACGCACTCCTTCATTTAAGCCACCTCGCCTTAATTCTGTGGACCACATCTGCTCCAATCTCCCTAGTCGTTGTGATAATCGATCCTAAATAACGAAAATGTTCACTCTTAAGTAATTCTTAGTTCTCAATATTCACTTCTCCTCTGCTTCCATTGTGACTGTTACTTAAATTACACTCCATATACTGTGTCTTAGTTTTGCTTATCCTAAATCCTTTAGATTTAAGTGCTTTTCTCCAAATCTCTAACTTAGTGCTAACTCATTTTCTAGTCTTATCCACTAACATGACATCATCTGCAAAAAGCATACACCATGAAACATCATCTTGAATATTGCTCGTCAACTCATCCATAACTAAAGCGAAAAAATAAGGACTTAAGGTTAGTCCTTGATGTAACCTTACAGTAATTGAAAATTCACTAGTCTCTTCAGCAGGCAATCTAATAGTGGTCACCACACCTTTATACATATCCCTAATCACATCAATGTAAGTTTTTGTTAACACCAACCAGATTATATCCCGAGACACTCTATCACATGCTTTCTCAAAATTGATAAAAACCATATGAATATCTCTTTTCTCCGCTTTTAGTTGTGGTTATTTTTTATGACCTGACATCATTACATACATCCAGACCCAATGACTATTAGTGGACAAGAACACATTTCTTAATGACTAGGGAAAAAAAAAAAGAAGCTAGACAAGAGTTGCTGCATCTCGGTAATGAAGCAGAAGATATAGACTTTCAACTAGGCAAATAAATTAACAAGCAACACCTATAAAATCTGCACACAAGGTTTTAAAAAGAGACCGCAACCGTTACGTAACGGTTGTGGTGGTTACCGCTAGCCGTTACGACTGCTATAGCGGTGTAATAGAAATTCACGATCGTAACAGCCACTACGGTTACGTAAAGGCCGTAGCAGCCGTTACATTGCCGCTATAGCACCGGCCACTACAGCATCGTTACGGCCGTTACAACCGTTACACTTCTATATATATATATATTTTTTATAAATTTTGTAGATATTGCTATTTTCTCTTTTTATTTTCTAGTTATATAGAATTTAAGAAAAAATGTTATCTATACATATTTTGAATGTCCAATCTTCAAGTTCTACAAGATTTCATTACTTTTTTATTTAATTATATTTGAATATGAACTTAATCTATTTCTCTTATGTAAATTTATTGAACAAAATTTAGATTTCATGTTATATATTTTTACATTATTATGTTGACATTTTGTATTTTGAACTTCTATTTATGAGACTATTGTTTTTAATATTCATTTTTTTTTCTTAACAAATCAGAAAATTATCCATAATTATAACTAGTAAAGTAAAGAAAATTAAATAAATTCAACAATAGGATAATTCTCCATAGCAACTTAAAACTATATACAAAAATTAGTATATATATTGGATCATGTTTTAAAACTAAACAAAAATACTAAAAATCATTTTGAGCCTCACTAAATGTGATTATGAAATAAAAACATGCGTATCGGTATGCTTGCCTAAAGTTGTGCGAAGAATTAAAAAATTCACAGTTTCGGTTGCCGCCGCCACCACTACGCTACAACTGTTACACCCCGCAACCGTGTCCGCGTTACCGCTATCGTTACAGTAACCGCCATCGTTATTTAAAATCTTGTCTGCACGTGAAAGTCAAAAAATGAAAACTAAATCACAGAAAACGGAACCAGTTCTGAATCGTGTTACAGAGTTGGCATAATGCCAATGTGCAAAGAGGATAGTCTTTACAAGTTGCCCAGACGCTAACCTAGGTTCAAATAGTTGCACCGACCAAAATTTCAAAACATTGTGATTGCCGGCTGAATGCCACATTTTAAAATAGGGTAAATTACAAATACACCCCCTGAGGTTTGCTTAAAATATGATTTGCCCCCTGCGGTTTTGAAAATTACATCATACTCCTTGAAATTTTTAATTTTATAACAAATGACCCCTTTTATTAATAAATCATAGAGTCAATTAACAGTTTTAAATGAAGTCAGAAATTTATTTCAATTAATAATTTAGGTGTTAAAATTTACCATCACCTACCACCAATTTACCATCACCTACCACCACCTACTCCTCACCTACTCCTCACCTACTACACTCACCCTCTCCTATATAATGAGCCACTCACCATTTGTAATATACACAACAAATCAATATATCAATCAATAATACATAAATTCTTACATGGTATCAGAGCAAGGTTAAGAACTTAGTAT